GACAGCTGTGAGTCATCTGTTTTAGTAGCTGACATGAATCATACAGATCACTCTACAATTTTTTTGTTTATAATAATGACAAAGAAAAATTTTATTCTACCTTATAAGCCTTTGAACAGAAAAGTTTTTATACTTGTCACTCTTTTAAAACTTTTATAGTGCATAAACTCTAGGCAAAACTGCATTACTAAAAATGCAAATACAGCCTCTCCTTACTTAGCAATGTACTCGTTTACCAATGACTTGGACTTACGACAGACTCTTTGACTAATATGCATACCTAATAATGTATATTAAAGCTGATTTCCTCTATTCTGTTTATTATAATATACAGTACACTACTGTATAAACATTAAAAAATATACCAGAAATGTTATAGATGGTGCAAAGGTGACATTAAAACAATATGAAAGATGTTTGACACAAACCCACTACCATTATAGTATGCTCCTCACTTAGCGACGAATTCGTTTACCAATGTGGTCTTCGGAACAGAACTCCGTCATTAAGTGAGGAGAGGCTGTACTGTTTTATTGAAAACTCACTAAGTAGGTGCACACTATGAGAGGTCTTACTATACACCAAAAGTGGCAATGACCAGGACTGGGTAGAAGCTGTATGTTAGAAGGAAATAAAAGCTTTGACAATTCATATGTCTGTGACATAAACCAGTGACCAGTTTCAAGAGCTCTTCTACCCAGTCTGTTTCCTGTTGGCCTCCTGGTCAACTAGGCAGTTGCTGCTAGTGGCCTGCAGGTATATGCAGCCATCACAGCCCAGCTGATGAGGCACTTGGAGAGAAATGGTATAAAATACCAACATAATGGTAAAAGAGAGACAAATGCAGTATAATGTAATCTTTTAGTGATGTTTCGAAACATCCATTGTGGGCAAAATGTTATCAGTAAAGGATTGCATTATGCTGCAATTGTCTTACTATGACAGGTTACTTGCAAAAGATAGCACACGTAGTTTGCTTTCCTCTTGAAAACTTTTATCTTTGTTCCACCAGTATTTCTGATATTTGCTGGAAACAGGTTGAAAAGTCTTGGACTGTAGATGTTGGTACTGTTCTTTAATCATGCATATGGCATCCCTGATTTTCACTTTTTTTTTTTTTTTCACTTCCTACCTTATCTTCAGTAAGTTATGGCAGTACAGTGGACCCCCGCCTTACAGACCCATCGCGTTACGTTAAATCCGCCATACGAAGCATTTGAATGCAAAATTTTTGCCTCGCCTCACGATAAAAAAACTCGCCTTACGTGATTCGTCCGGGACACGTCCCACATGTGGCCTCAGCGCCAGTGTTTACAAGCCAGCCAGTGCAGTCGCATCTACGCATACATTCGGTACATTTCACATAATCCCAGTGTTTTTAGTGCTTGTAACTGCAAAATATGTCGCCATGAACCCCAAGAAAGCTTCTAGTGCCATCCCTGTGGTAAAAAGGGCGAGAATTAGTATGGAATTGAAAAAAAAGATTAAAGAAATGTGTGCAAAGTGGGTTGAACTGCAAACCTTTACGAATGAAAATCACCCTGACACAGCTACTGCAAGTCGTGTTGGCAACCTGTACAATGACAATGTTATGGCCCATTTTAGGAAAGTCTTAAAGGAACGGGAGGTACAGAGCTCTATGGACAGATTTGTTGTGCGACAGAGATCCAGTGACTCTCAAGTTGGTCTTAGTGGCATTAAAAGAAGAAGGGAAGTAACCCTGGAAAAGGACTTGCTACCTAAAGTCGTAATGGAAGGGGATTCCCTTTCTAAACAATAACTTCCACTCTCTTGACTCCTCCCATCCCATCAATCATCACCAGATCTTCAATAAAGGTAAGTGTCATGTAGTATTCTATTCTTAGTAGAGTAGTAATTGTGCATGTCTTCTTCAGTTTGTGTATTAAAATGAATATTTCATGTGGTAAAAAAAAAATTTTTTTTTTTCATACTTTGAGGTGTCGGAACGGATTAATTTGATTTCCATTATTTCTTATGGGGAAAATTAATTCAGCTAACGATGAGCTCTCAGGAACGGATTAATATCGTATGGCGGGGGTCCACTGTATACAGAATGGAGACCAGGTCTTCAAGTATCTTCCATATATATATTATCAGGTATTGTATCTCTTCATTTAAAGAGAACATTTTAATTAATTTAGGCATTAATGCTTTATTGACTGAATATGGACAATAAACTACCTTTGTACATTTTCCTGCACTGAGCACAAAATAAATTGTGTATACCTGGAGTATACCCAGACGAGGTTTCAGGGGTCAACACCCCCATGTCCTGGTCCATGACCAGGACTCATAGTGGCTCAGGGCCTGATCAACCAGGCTGTTACTGCTGGCTGCACGTAAACTGACATATGAACCATAGCCCAGCTAGTAAAGTACTGACATGAAGTGCCTGTCCAGCTCCTCCGTAAAGACAGCCAGAGGTCTATTGGTTATCCCTCCCCCCTTATGTATGCTGGGAAGCAGTTGAATAGTCTTGGGCCACTGACACTTTTAGTGTTGTCTTTTTGCTTACTTGTGGCACCCCTGCTTTTCACTGGAGGGATGTTGCATCTCCTGCCGAGTCTTTTGCTTTTGTAGGGAGTGATTTTCATGTGAAGATTTGGGACTAGTCCCCCTAGGATTTTCCAAGTGTATATTATCATGTATCTTTCTCACCTGCATTCTAGGGAGTACAAATCAAGGGATTTCAACTGTTCCCAGTAATTTAGGTGCTTTATCGTACTTACACTTGCCGTGAAACCCCAATGAACCCCAATGGAAACAAGTCACTCTGTCTGACTTTTTTGGGTTATCCTAGGCTCTCTACACATATGCTGATATGTATGATAATCTATGTAACTATATATGTGTATACCTGAATAAACCTACTTACTAAAGTTCTCTGTATATTCTCAACGTCTGCAATTTTGCCTGATTTCAAAGGGGCTGTTAGTGTACAGCAATATTCCAGCCTAGAGAGAACAAGCAATTTGAAGATAATCATCATGGGTTTGGCATTTCTAGTTTTGAAGGTCCTCATTATCCATCCTATCATTTTCCTAGCAGACGTGGTAGATACTTTGTTGTAAGCTTTGAAAGTGAGATTTTCTGACATCATTCCCAGGTCTTTCATGTAAGTTTTTCATTCTTATTGTGTGGTTGGAATTTGTTTTATACTCCGATAGTTTTAATTTCTTTGAGTTTTCCATAGCCGAGTAATTGAAATTTGTCTTCATTGAACTTCATATTGTTTTCTGCAGCCTATTTAAAGATTTGGTTGATATCCAATTGGAGATTTGCAGTGTATTCATTGGATGACACTCGTGCAAATTCGGGTGTCATCTGCAAAGGACGCAGTGCTGTGGCTTACGTCTCGGTCTGTCAGATATGAGTATGGGGAACAGGATGGGAGTGAGTACTGTACCTTGTGGAACAGAGCTTTTCACTGTAGCCACCTCCATCTACTCACTTTTCCTGTTATTCCTTTATCACACATTTTCTGTGCTATTACACCATGATCACACTTCTTGAAGCCTTTTGCAAAGTCTCTGTATACATTTTCATTTTAGTTTTCCTCCAGAGCATCCAAGATCATGTCAAAGTGGTCCAGTAGTTGGGATAGGCAGGAGCAACCTGCTCGAAACCCATGCTGCCCTGGGTTGTGCAAATGATGGGTATCTAAATGGGGTGACGATCTTGCTTATTAGGACCCTTTCAAAGATTTGTATGATATGAGACATTAGTGCTATCAGTCTGTAATTCTTTGCAGTTGCTTTACTGCCACCTTTGTGGAGTGGATCATAATAGATTTGAAAAGTACCATCACTGGCATTGCTTCTGTGGTATTTATAATGGAACTGTATACAGTATAGTACCGAGAACCAAATGAATAAGACATGTGTAACACTTGGAAACATCCACTGTCTTCAGCATTATATTTGCCTATATTCTACTGAAGAAGTCTGCAGCAGAAGTGAAATTTTTCAACAGTAAAGATACCAGTGTTACACCTGTCTTATTTATCAACTCAAAAGGTCTCATTAATCCATCCTATCATTGTCTTGCTCTCCTTTGTTGTGTTCTTCAAATGACAGATCATTATTCCTAAGTCTTTTACATATCCCTCTCTTTCTAAGACTGTCTTCTGTATCTTCATTCTTCTCATATTTAAGCAGTTGAAATTTGCCCCACTGAATATCATGTAGCTGTCATTGACATTTGTCTATTGGAAGACTTGGGTGATATCTAATTTTTGTTTTCTACTGTAGCAAGTTTCCTTTGTGTTTTGATACTGGTGTGTGTGTATGCTGTGAGAATAAGAAATAAAGGTGCTAGAAATGTGCCTATGATACTGAAATTTTTACTTAGCCGAGTCTGAACTTTATGTATTACCACTCTGTGATGCTTGTTAGAAATCTGACTGTTTCTCTACTCTTCCTGTTAAATCTGTTGACTACTCTTTATGACTAGTTACTCCAATGAGGCAGCATTTGCAAAATCTGTCAAGTTATTTATACCTAACTTATTATGAAATGGCTGATATACTAACTACTATGGGTATTTTTATGGGATATTATATATGAAAGATTTTCCTCAATATCTTATGTATTCTTAATGTCCATTTCTTCTTAGTTACTGTTCTGTGTTATATTTTCCTCTTCATATAATGTATTTTTATCCTAGATGGAGTACCTCCCCACCCTATGAAAGTGGAAAATAGGGTAAATAATTTTTTACAAGAGTAAATTTTCTTAAAAGGCATTAGTTAAGACTGAAAAAACTTTACCATATTATTGGCAAAGTTTGACTAACAATCCATTAAACCTTGCCCAGTCACCTCTTAAAACTGTTAACACTAGCCATTGCTGTATTTGATTTTAACTTTTTTTCCTTAAACATTAGGCAAGATTATTTTGCCTTTTTTTTTTTTTTAACTTCATCAATTCTATTATTGAATGATTAGAAAAAGTACAGTACTTTTGCATTTCTTGTTACAGGGAGTGTGAGTGCAGATGTTGGCCAGATGACTCAGGGATCTCCACATAGTTCACCAACAAGTACGGCAGCCCCAGTGCGCCCACGTACTGACCATAAACACCGTAATTCCACGGCTTCCCTTGGAAACCTTATCAAGCGTGATTCCAATCAGTCTTTACCTACACACCTCATTTCAGCTGCCAATCAGCAGAAAGCTGCTATATCAGTTAAGCAACAACTGCCTATGAAATTAGCTAAGCTTGGAAGCAGTAGTAGCTCAGGCTCTTCATCAAGTAGCACAGGGGGAGCATCCTCCCCAAATCAAGATCATCGGCCTCATATAAATCCAGCAGCTATTGGTGGAGTACAACAAATGCTACCCCTAAAACTGAGTCAAGGGCCTGGAGAAAGTAAAGGATCTCGCATGACTATAGGATACCAGCGCCTAGCATCTCCTCCACCTTCACTTCAGGAGCCTTCTCTTGGTCATTCCCACCAGCGCACAGGTTCATCCCCAGCAACATTACAGAATGGGTCTCCAGCCACTAGCCCTGGGGGAGTCCCACCCACTGCCACCACCGCCCAGGGTGCCCGTGCCACCCGCACTAACACTTACCCTAAGCTGCCCAGCAAACCTACTGTGCCCACCACACGTGCCAACACCACACCAGAGGCATTGACACAAGAAGGGTCTGGCATGGGTTCTAGCACACGCCCTGGCCAGCGAATTAAAGACCCTGACACTGACCAGGATATCATATTCTTCTAAGAGCTTCTCTCTAGTTATCTTTTCTAGGGATCATATAGTTTCAGGAGTATGACGATTCAGCTATTTTTTTTAGCAGCAGAATTGTTATACCTCTGTCAGCCGTGATTAGCGTCTGTCCCTGTGATTAAAGCATTCCTTCCTTTATACACACCACCACCATTTACATGACCCTTAGTGTTTACATTATTATCATTACTAAGTGTATGCCGTGAGTCTGGGACTTGTACATAAAACACGTATACACCCACACACTGTCTTCCGGCTACTGGTACACAGCACTAGTGGGAGTTCGTACTTTCGTGTGATAGGTGTATCCTAACTTGTCCTTTGGCAGACGCTGCTTAGCACATAATAATGTGCAAGGTCGATGGTTCAGCAGTCCTATTAAGCTATGATAGCTACTTTTATATAAAAGAATGAAAGGGAGATAAATGGTGTAGAAAGTTCATTGTGTATGACTCGAATGGTTATTTTTTACATACGTGTGAAACACTTGACTGGTTGCACATTCCTGTGGCCTTTACTGCCCCCTCTTTTCCCTCTCACCCCCAAGCGTAGGGAAGGGAGCAGCCTCAAGGGGAGAGAGGCTGCTCGGCTTTCAAAATGCATTCTTGTGCGAGCTGCCTTGAGTGGTGTAAGTACAGTTAAGCGGTACAGATTTGTTTATTTAACTGGCTTTTTTTTTATATAAAACTTTATAGTGTGTGTTATTAGTTTTTTATTTTAAATAAATATATTAATGTAAAAATGTAGCCAGGATGACAGTGTGTACATTCCAAATAATAATGATTTCTATGTTGTAATTGCTGTATGTTAGCCCAGAGGGAATATAGGGTATCGTAATATCTAACATGTATCTAGAATTCATTGTTTTCCTAAAGCTCAATGTGTATCAGCCAAAACTTCCAGGCAAAACTGGCAAACAATAAATAGGTTGGAAATTATGTATAGCCAGTGTAATGCTATGTTAGGATGGGGGTAAATGTGTTGTGCTGAATGTTTAGGTCAGTGTACAGTGTAATTAATTATGACCAGCACAAACAACATTCCTAGGGGTCATTTTTTTGTGCATTTGATAGGATCTAACTTTAATAATATGTACAGATATTTCTGCAGTGAAGTGTGAGAACATGATTTGTATTACTTATTGCTTCATCTCTGTTGATATGATCCTTGGCAAAGGAACTGTGTTGAGAGTTACTATTCAGTCCATAATTGTGACATCGTCAGCAGAATTGAGCTTTTTGCAACTTAATTTGAATATTTAGTAAAGTCATAATTTAGTGTCCTCAACATTCCTGAAATCAGGGCTGTTAAAGCTTGAGAAGCTAAATTTTGCTGATATGTTACATTACAGTACCTCGGCCTCACCTGATGGAAGCAAGAAAAATCAAGGTTGCTGTTACCTTCCTCTTTGTTACTTTTATAAGAGAGTTCTGCCACAACACACTACTCATTAGACTACTTTTACTTACAACTGGATCAGCAATGGGCATTGGATGAATTACATATGGTTCAATTTTTTTTATTCACAATACAGAAAATGAACCATGTTAAATATGTCCAATACTCAGGTTTCCATCTCATGTTCATATTTGGTCTTCCATAATACTGCTAAATCTGCTTCATAAGGCAGTCTGTGGCCACATTTAGAAAGTAGATTACGTCATGATTCTCATGTGTTACATGGCATTTTTGCTTTTGTTAAAACTAATTTCACACCATTTCTCATTGGATGGGGAGTTACTCCTAGATGAGAAATAATGTAGCTAGTCTGAAGCCCAGAGTAGCAGAGTGACTACCTCTGTAATTCTTTGGTCATACAATTTTTAAGTTTAGTTTTATTCTTCATTTTATATAGTTAATTGCACAGTAATTAATGATATTTCAGTTTAGTTAATTACCTTTATTTTAAAAGGATTAATCAACCTCCTTGAAATCTTCTGCATACTTTGAGTACCATTTTTTCACAAGAGCAGTCAAACTAATGTTATCTAGCTACCTACCAAATGAATGATATGGCAACTCTCTCAACACTTCAAACAAGTAAGGGTTCAGCTTCCCAGTTTAAAAAAAAAGCCACACAGAACATTCCATTATTTACTGAAGTTGTTTCAGAAATGTCACACTAAAATTGACCATTGTTCTGTCCACTAGAATAGCATCCTGTGTTCCGGGGGAAAATATTATTTTTAATCTATTTATTCTATCTCCATAGCAGATGCCCAGCCCTTTATGTAAACTAAAGTTACAGTTTTCCTGCTTAAATCTTCTGGCATAGATGATGTCAGTTTTATAGTCCTCAAGAACTTTCTTTGGTGCTTGAATAGTATACAGGAAAGCAGTGCAACTTTGTCATAAAGGGGACTGCCTGGAACCAGTCAGCACGAGTTAAAATCTAGTGTGCCATTTTTGACGTCAGTTTCATCATAACTAGTAAAGCCTGGAGTCAGTTTGGCAGCATGTGATATTATACCAGTGGACAAGACTAAGTAATGAGATCTAAGAGGTTGATCTGATATGAAGCTTTTGCTCTTAAACAAAAGCATTTTAATACATTATTTTGTGAATAGAAGTCCAAGGAATAAACTGTTTATCATGTTATGATGTCATTTTTTACCCTTCCCTCCTAACTTTTGTATTCTTCAGTCAAAACATGCACCAGCATTTCAGCTAAATTTGACAATACAGGAAATGAAAAGCTTATCCTTCCTTCCAGTGTCATTCAATGTTACTTGCAAGTTCAATGGTTATTATTATAATCAAAAAGAAGGGCTATACAGCGCTGCAGGGCAGGAAGGAAGCGAGGTCATCAGGTGGCAAAAGGGAGATGGATGAGTAATAGGTTACGGATAACAGCGGGGCAGTAGATGGTGAAAGGGTAAAGGGCTGAGGGGAGTGCGAAAGGTATCATCATCAGAGTTTGTGGAGTAAATCAGTCGTTGTCAAGAAGTCAATGAGAGAGTCAGGATTAAAGGAGGGTCCATCAGCAAGAAGGGAAGGTAAAGAGAGAGTAGTAGAACGAAGACGACGTTGGAGGTAAATTCTGCGCGCTCGTTGAAAGAGAGGGCAGTCTAACAGAATGTGGCTAATTGATACTGGAACTTGACACTGCTCACAGAGAGGAACAGGGTGCCTCTCCATGAGATACCCATGAGTAAGACGAGTGTGGCCAATGCGAAGGCGGGAGAGAGTGGTCTCCCAACCTCGGCACTGATGACAAGAAGACGGCCAGTAACCTATGCTCGATTTAATAGAATGAAGTTTGTTACCGAGCAGAGTTGACCAACGTTGTTGTCAATGGGTGTGAAGGTGGGTAGCTATTGCAGCAAAATAGTCCAGAAATGGAACACCTCTACAGGAAATTGGTAGGTCATGTACTGCTGACCGTGCAGCAGTGTCTGCCTGTTCATTGCCCTGTACATCAACATGACCAGGGACCCAACAAAAAACAATATCTTTATGCTTGGTAGAGATACGGCGTAGCCAAAGTTGGATACGGAGAATTAAGGGGTAAGATGTATCAAATTTTCGTACAGCCTGTACAGCACTAAGGAAGTCTGAGACTACCACAAATGATGACACAGGCATAGATGTGATACGAACAAGTGCTGCAAGAATGGCATACAATTCAGCAGTAAAAATGCTAGCCGAAGATAGTAAATGCCCTCGCACGACGCTGTCCGGAAACACTGCTGCGAATCCGACACCGTCTGAAGACTTAGAGCCATCTGTGTACACAGCGATGGCATGAGAATGGAAGTGATCAAGAAAAAGAGAGCGGGAAGCCACTGTAGGCAGTTGGGCTTTCGAGCAAGGGAGTGAGAAAGAACAGACCCGAACAGCTGGAACTTCCCAGGGGGTAGGGAAAAGTGAGATGCTACATGAACATATAAAGGTGGTAACTGAAGGGAAGACGAGCGAATGTAGGCGAAGAGAAAAGGGACGGAGCAAACAGGGGCAGCGAACAAATAAAGAATGTCTACTAATATCGGTGACCATTCTATAAATGGAAGGATTGTGGAGATCGTGAGAGCGTACATAGTAGCGAAGGCAATGGGCATCACGACGATCAGACAAGGATGGAACATTTGCTTCTGCATAGAGGCTCTCAACAGGGAAAGAGCGAAAAGCACCAAGGCACAAACGTAATCCTTGGTGATGGATGGGGTTAAGGCTAGAGAGAGTAGCAGGAGAGGCCGCTGAATAAATCTGGTCACCATAGTCGAGTTTCAATAAAATGAGGGCTGAATGTAGGCGAAGCAGAGTTCGACGATCAGCTCCCCAGGAAAGATGAGTAAGGGTTTTAAGAAGGTTTAGCCGGCTGTGACAAGTTGCCTTCAGAGAGGTAATGTGAGGTTTCCAGGATAACCTACGGTCAAAGAGAAGGCCTAGAAACCTGACTGTATCCCTTTCGGGGATACGAGAGCCATAGAGATACAAAGGATGATCAGAGATGACAGAGTGTCTAGTGAAAGTAATTTGGTGAGTTTTGGTACTGGAAAATTTAAACCCATGCGTGGTGGCCCAAGTGGAAAATGGTCGACCGCATGCTGGGAAAAACGCAATGAATGACAGTCAGCGCCGCAAAAGCAATACGAAGTCTAAACAAAGAGGGGCCCAAATATTGGGTGGAAGAACAGGGGGCCAAAATCATTTTGAAAGGAAAAAAAAGTGTTGTGCCGAACAATCCCTGAGGGGCCCACCTTCATTTTGGACAAAGCCCGGGGGAAAGCACTTATTGACTCGAACACTAAAGTGTCTTCAGTTGAAAAGTTCTAAGGGAAAGGATGGTAATTGCCTCGGGGGCCAAAGGAGGGGGGTTGGGCCAAAAATATTATCCCCCAAGTTGTGTCATAGCCTTCTAAAGGTCAAAAAAATATGGCACTACTGAGTGATTTTTTGCAAAAGGCATTACAAACTCGTACCAAAGCGTAAGAAGGGGTTTAGGGGAGAAGGCCCTTACGAAAGCCATTTGATACGGAGAGCTGTTTGTGTGTCTCAAAAATCCCACTTAAAAACGGCGATTTACAGCATTCCATCACTTTGAAACTGCATAGAAAGAGCAGGGGATTAGTGGGGGGCTCTGTCCTGAGTACCGGCTTTGGGGAAAGGGGAGAAAATGGCAGATTTCCCACAGCGGGGAAGAACCCCTTGTCCCAAATAGATTGAAGGGGTTTTAAGAGGACTAAAAGGGGGCGACGAGAAAAATGTTGTAACATACGAATTGAATGTCGCGGGCCCCAGGCCGAGATCGGCAAGGAAGTGTTGCCCCCGTTCCTAAAGGGGAAAGGCACTTTACTTTTCTTCTTGAGAGAAAAAAAGTCAAGGGTAAAAACTCCCCCGGCAGACTTTGAGGAAAAGAAACGGGGGGCAAGTGGAGCCCAGGAAATAGGGCCCAGATAGTCCCAATTTCATGGCAAGTAAAGAGGATTTGTAATCAATACCGGCGCCCCAAAAAGGGCCGGGGTCAGGAGAGATTTCCACTAAAATTTCCTCACTTTTTTCCAGACTGCACTCAAGGGAAGCAGGGTAGGGGGAAAACTAGTCTCCCCAGCAAGGCGTTTAGATACGGATGCCCGGCAGCGATCGCCGTTTCTGCAAAAAATCAAAAGGTCTCTCTTGGTTCTATTTTATCGGTCCCTGCCCATGCAGCGTTTTAAAATGTACTGCACGAGCACAAGCAGGAACCCCCAAAGGGCACGCATTCTAAATGCTTGCCTGAGGTTTGGGGTATGAATGAGACCTGCGGTATAAACTGAGTCGAGAAGAGGTGTAGGAGCTCATAAGGGAAAGTGAAGAAGGAACCCATAAAAGCGTGAGCTGCGAGTAAAGGTCCCAAATTGCCACGAGGGCTAGGGAAAGGGGGTAATATGAATAAAAAGAAAGAATATTGGAAAATGTCGTGTCATGTAAGCCTTTTTAGAACAGACCGGTGAATTTTAGGCAGTGGAGGAAGGAGACTGTAGATTGATGAAAGAGAGGTATGAGTAGAGGATAAAAAGGGTGGGAGTCCCCCGTATTTAAAAATGGAGGGGGTGGAGGGAGAAAACCCCCAACAAATGCCACGGGGTCCAATGAGCCCCCCCCCCCCGGGGAAAAGTTGGGTTTAAAAATCACCAAGTAACGGAATGGGGTGGTGGAAAGGGTTTAAACAAAAAAGGCAAAAGTCGGGATAGAAATTGCTCGAGAAGGAGAGAGTATAAAGAACATTTGAAACCACTTATTTAAGTGGATAGGGTACAGTGTAAGCAGCGAGGTATGGACAAATAGCTGACAGTAGGAATTCATTGCATGAAGAAGGGCACTTTCATTAAGGCCCCATCTGAAAAAGGATCGAAAAATAAAATAAATTTATCCGAATGGTTGGAAAACAGCGGAGTGTAATTTTGGTTCTTGAAGAAAGCCCCCAACAGGGGAAAAACCGGGAAAGCAAATCTGAAGTCCCCGTTTCCCGGGGCCGGGGATATTCCACTGAAATAGGCCAGGTTTGGCGATGAAGAAAAACGGGAAATCCGTGGGGAAAGGCCCCTAGGGACTAGGGGTGTTAGAAAGTTATGTGTGGTGGCTTTGGAAGACGTTAAAGCAGCGAAGGAACGGAGCGTTCGAAGAATGGGGTTGTGAAAGATGGAGGGGGGGAAGAAAGGAACGGAAGTGAATCAGTGCCCTTTTGAGCTTTAGTTCTGAATAATCTAAAAATGGTTCAGTTTTTCTGAATTCAAAGATGTAGGGAGCCCAAATTTTGGGGTAAAAGGGGGAAGGGTGAGAAAGTTTGGGCAGTAATGGCTGTACCAAAGTAGAGGGGGCAAGGTGTAAGGGACTGGAATGGTGTGGGGGGGACGAAGAGGCAGAAACCCGGGGGTGGGAAAGAGGGGAACTTGGGGGGGGCGGGGTTTGGGAAACTAGTGAGGGGAGGGGGAAACTTCAACTTGTAATAGGCCGGAGAGGGGAAAAAACTAGGCACGAGACTGGAAAAGGTAAAAATGTGGAGAGAAGAAGGGAAGGAAGGGGGCAAAGAAGATTTGACAATGTGGATTTTTTTTGGACCTCTGAAGAGGGGGGGTTGGGATAAGGTGTGTACAGGTCTTGTCATACTGGGGGTTGTGAGGAAGGACCCAAGATGTGAGAACAGACTGAGTTTTTAGTTGGGCGTCAGAGCCAAAGGGGGCAAAGGGTTGATCCAGAGGGCTAGGGAGGGGTAACAAAAGAGGCTGCAGAAGATGGGACCCCCTTTGTGGGGGGGTGTTTTGAAAAAACGGAATAAAAAACAGGGGCGCTCCTTTGGGGGCGGGGATGAGTAATCCAAGATGGGGGACCCTTTGCCTCTTTTAGGGAAGGGTTTCATGTTCATTTAAGTAGCCTTGGAACGGCGGGGGTGCGAAGGGTGGCTTCATTACAATTAAGGCAAGAGGAGTTGACTGCAAGATGAAAGAATGGCGTCGGCACCACAGATGGCATTGGGGTATGATTTGCAAATTTTTTCTGGGTGACCAAAAAAAGCCGCAATTTCTCACTGTTTCGGGGGTAGGATCCCTTTGAAATTGTAACCGATGTTCCGCGACATATACAAAAGGGCGGGAGTTTCGGGCTGTAAAAGTTAAAAA